CAGAACCAGGTTCTAGTTCACAGAACAATTTCCAGCTGCAAGGTAAGTTTCTTCTGACTTTCACCTTAATACTTAGGCATTGATAGACTTGCATTTCTAAAAATACAATGTAGATATCCTGACTCTGATTCTGTACATATTTATAGATTTCATGAATTTTTTGCCTAAATAGAGAGAATTTCAGTTCATAACTTCTTGAGGAAATTAGGATTCCGAACTAGGATTAGAAAAATTCATGCTTGCTTCTGATTTACAGTTCTGATGTTTTATATTTCTGAAACCATGACGAAACCTGCCATAACTGTTATGTTTGTATTTTCTATTTTGTTGAGAAATGGCTAAGTTGCAGATGCTCTGACTGGCATGGAGAAGGAGATGGAGTTCATCATCATAACTTACTTTGTAATATATGTTTATGTTTTTGCTTCTAATACCGGATGTATAGCCACCCCAGTTGTAGAGAGCGTGTGCATAAGACATTAGTGATAAGAGTCCTGAGTTCTAGCCCCAGAAACACCTTTTTATGTTTATTTCCTGACATTTTTACCCCATTAGTTGGACCAAAACTTCTAGATCAATCCCCTTTAGTTGCTTGTCAAAACAGTGATCCTGGACCAAAATTTCTAGACGTTCCCATCCAACGGTATTGACACCTCACATATCCATTATCAGAACTTCTAGCTTGCCAGTGATACTAGAACTTCTAGATTTCTAGCTACATCATAACTTCCAGACTTTCTCAACAACCAGAACTTCTGACCTTCCAGTAACATTAGAACTTCTAGGCTGCCAGTTGCATCAGAACTCCTAGGATTTACCTTGTTCCCAGCAACCCCAGAACTTCTCACCTTCCCCTTTTCTTCTAACATCTTCTTTCTGACTTGCAGCGCACCAGAGTCAGAACTTTTGTTCTCTCCTATTTCAGTAATGCGTTGATTCTGACCCTTTTCCTCTTATTATTTTTATCATCATTTTCAATAATCAAAAACACCAAAAATATTTTTATATTCACATACTTTATCTTATTTCTTTTAAAATCAAAAGACAAAAAAGATTTTCTTAAGAAAATTTATTTATTTCTTAGCCAAAACCAAACTAATCCACTTTTACATTTCATTTCTTATACATTATTTCAATATGATTGTAATAGATAATTAGGACTTTAATTTCTTGCAAACCCCTATTTGTAAATTTGTACACCCCATCCCCCTAATGATTGTAATTGCGTAGAATATTTACTTTCCGCAATTTATCACTTTCATCTAAATGCTAGTAATTAGGATTTGTATGGGAAGATAAAATCAACAAGTAGACAACCCTAATCAAAGACTAAACGCATGCAAATCAAACACACTATTCACACATGCAACCCTAAGGTCAACTCCACTTGTTGCCTAAAAAATGGTCATGTTATGCATGTGAGAGATCTTATCAAAACAATCAAAAATACAAGATCATAGTCCCTTGATGACGCTACAAATGATGCCTTTCAAATGATCTTAGTCCCTCAAAGAGAAATACTAAGATATCTCACAACATTTCTATCATGATTATACGATGACCTATGTCCATCCCTTTACATCCAAAGATAAGGCTTCTTACCAATCAATGGTAAGATGGCAATATCAAAGGAAGAGAGAAATGAACAAAAGACTTTTTTGTGGGTAGAAACGTTCCTAGTTGCTTGCTCACTTTCAAAATAAACATCCTTGTATACACACACCAAACACTTTCAAAACAAACATCCTTGTATACACACACCAAACACTTTCAAAACATGAAATATTTTCAAAAGTCCAACACTTTGTATACATTCTTATAAGACGAGAACCATTACAAGGTTTTCCTAAACGAATGCGCTTTTCAAAAATACTTTCAAAAACCACCACAAAGGATACTTTCAAACAAAGCAAGTTATCTAGCAAGCAACTAAGAGCCCATAGATAACTATGGATGAAAAGGATGCTAACACCTCCCCTTTTCATAATCTACCCCCGAACTCAAGAAATAATCTTAAAGGCCTTTCGTTTTCTTTTGACCCTTTCCTTATTTGGATAAAAGAAAAGTCGATGGCGACTCTTGCTAACCGCAACAATTGCGATTAAACGTAAAACGTCTCGAGTTAGTTCTCCCACCGTATTACAACGGTATTAGAGAACTCAATGGGGTGTGTATTGGGCCAACATGACGAGTCTGGACGAAAAGAGCATGCAATATACTAAGGTCCCTCGAACGGGGGATAGTTTAGCAATTACCCTCGAACATGGGATACTTTAGCAATGACCCTCGAATACAAGATCGTAGTCCCTCGATGACCCTTTGATGTTGCCTTCGGTAAACGATCTTATAATCTTACAACAAATTGCTAAGTTATCCTACAATGTTTCTTTCTATGACTATACGATGACCCACACTCAGCCCTTCACATCCAATGATAGGGCTTCTTATCAATCAATGATAAGATAGCAATATCTAAAGGAGGAGGAAATAAACAAAGAGTTTTTGAGTAGGTAGAATGTTCGTAGTTGCTTGCTCACAACCATTTTTCAAACATCTTTCAAACACACCAACACCTTCAAATGAAATATTTTCAAAAGTTAACACTTTGTATACATTTTCACCGAAACGAGAATCATTACAAAGTTCACCTAAACAATGATACTTTTCAAAAATACTTTCAAAACCTATCACAAACACATTTTAAACAAAGCATTTCAAAGTGATCTAGCAACTAAGATCTCGTAGATAACTACAGATGAAAAGGGTACTAACACCTTCCCTTTTCATAACCTACCACCTGAACTCAAGAAAATTCTCAAAAGGTCTTTCCTGTTCTTTTCACCCTTTCCCTTATTGGATAAAAGAAAAGTCGGTGGTGACTCTTGCTATCCGCAACAATTATGATAAAATGCAAAACACCCAAGTCAGTTCTGCCACCAGATATCAATGACATTAAACACAATAATGTTAGTGAAAAAGAGGAGGAGTATACTACTCTTGAGCAGAATGCCACACCTGATGTACCAGACAAAGGTACCAACATCATTCTACCACCTAAAGATGAAAACTCAGAAGGTGAGGAGGATGATGTTATTGTAAACAAAGGGTCGTTCACAAGAATTCAGAAAAAGCATCCCATAGAAAACGTAATTGGGCATCTAAATGAATGAGTCATTACCAGATCCATGGAAGTGATAACTAATATATTTTTCATCTCTAAAATTGAACCCAATAATGTCAAGGAAGCCTTCAGGGATAAATATTGGATAAATAACATGCAAGAAGAACTTGGTCAATTTGAAAGAAATAATGTTTGGGAGTTGGTCACTCAGCACAACTCTGGTAACATTGTTGGAACCAAGTGGATCTGCAAAAACAAGTCACACGAAAATGGTAATGTCACAAGAAAAAAAAGGCCCATCTAGTCGCTCAAAAGTACACCCAAATAAAGAGAATAGATTTTGATGAAACATTTTCCCCTGTCGCTCGCTTGGAAGCTATAAGGTTGTTAATTGTAATATCTTGTCATTTAAAATTCAAATTATATCAAAGGATGTTAAAAGTTCCTTCCTATATGGATATCTGAATGAAGAAGTATATGTTGAACAACCCAAAGGATTCATTGATCCTTGTTCTCCATATCATGTTTACAAGCTTAAGAAGACACTCCATGGGCTGAAACAAGCTCCAAAAGCTTAGTATGAAATACTCACTAAGTTTCATCACTAGTAATGGTTATGTGAGCGGAGGAATTGAAAAAACACTATTTTTTAAGAAAGAAGAAGGAAGATTATGATATCTTAAATATATGTGGATGGAATTATGTTTGTAGGAATGTCAATCAAGATGGTAGAGAATTTTTTTCAATAAAGGAATCAGAGTCCCAAATGAGCTTGGTAGGAGAGATTGCCTACTTTCTTGGTTTTCAAGTTAAACAAATAAAAGAAGGCATCTTTATCTCTCAAAGCATGTATGTTAAGAATATTGTCAAATTTTGGTCTTGAAAATTCTAGGCATAAATATACTCTAACTGTCACTCTTGTCAAACTTACTAAATATGATCAAGGAATGATTATTGATCAATGTCTTTATAGTAGTATGATTGGGAGTCCATTATATCTCACTGCTAGTCGTCTTGACATCACATTCTCTGTAGGTATATGTGTTTTCTATCAATCTAATTCTAAAATGAGTCATCTCATACAAGTCAAAAGAGTCATCAAATATATAAGTGGAACTTATAACTATGGAATCAAGTACTCCTATTATGCCAACTCCATTCTTGTTGGATATTGTGATGTTGATTGGGTCAGAAATGCTAAAGATAGAAAATGTACTTTAGGTGGATGTTTCTTCTTAGGAAATAATCTCATTTCATGGTTTAGCAAAATGCAAAATCGTGTTTCTCTATCCACTGCAGAAGCTGAATATATTGTTGTTTGAAGTAGTTGTAATCATCTATTGTGGATGAAGCTGATGTTGAAAGAGTATGATGTCACTCGGAATGTTATGACATTATACTGTAACAACATGAGTGCTATTAAAATTTTCAAGAATCCAGTTCAACATAGTTGTACCAAGCACATTGATATAAGACATCATTTTATTAGAGAACTTGTGGAAGATAAGGTCATTACTTTGGATAATGTGACTAATGAAAAATAACTTATGGATATTTTTAGTAAGCCTTTAATTCAACACAATTTTAAAAAATAATAATTTCTTTAGGATTGTGTTTGATGGGTATTTTGTAGCAACTAACGTTGAGGTGGCTAAATATTAAATGGGTCGGAGTCTTGTCCATTAAGTCCACTATTTCCAAGAAACGTGTAAGGAATATTGTTTAGACCATAGAAGTCCAAAACCACTTCGTATTCAAAAATTATCATTTATCATTAAGTTATTGTTTCACACTTCACTCATATCACTCATTTTCATCTTCTTAGAAATATCAATCTATCTCTCTAATTTTTCATCTTCAAACCAAACCTTTTGAAAACATGGTTGTAACACATCAAGGTTCATATTTTTCAGGTAAAGAAAAAACAAATGTGAAGAAGGTAAAGAAGTCATCCAGGGATGATAAAGTTGTATTCAATGTGTATGGAGTAAAACTGAAAGGAATTGTGATTAGTAGGATGGTCGATGGTCAGGTCATAGGTTCTTCCCCTATCAAAAGACCGAAGGAGGTTAAGAAAATGAAACTCAAGAAACTCAATGATCATACTCCAATAACCATGTCTGACCTAATTAGGAAAGGCGTGGAAACTGCTATGAAGGTATCGAAAAACACTAAGGAGTCCTTTAATCCTCGAGAAAATGTCTCGACCTAAACATGAGATGATGTTCTCAAAGTTGTGTTTCTTCACAAAGAAAAAGGTAAGTCTTCCAAATCCCCTGAAACCCCAAAATCTAGTATTCACTTAAATGTCTCTACTCCTAAGTTAGTTTTTGTAGCATCCAAATCTAATAATGAGACTAAGGATGTTATGGGTAATGATTCATTAAATATTACTCAAACCCTATAAACAGTCAATGCATACGATAATGCTCCAAGTGAAATATTATTGATAAGATTCAAAGTGGGAAACCCATCCTGAAAAAACCTTTGACTAATAACTCTATGGATGTTGATCCAATTACTATATGTAAAAATATTGTTCCAGATGTTGAAAACATCATGATTGATACTACGTTAGAAAATATAGACTCTAATAAGGAGGAACTTGATGTCAGTCAGGATGATGGCTATACGGATGACGGTAACAACATTGATGACATTCCTCAGACTAAAGAGAATGAGTCAGAAGAGAATGGTTTTGAGTAAAGTAATGATAAAGATAAAGAAGATGTTTTCTGAAGCAAGTGACGAGGAAAGTGAGAAAAGCATTGAACATGTTGAAAAAGACAGTCAAATGGTTTTTGAAACAGAGGAAAGCATAAATCAGAGCTTCGATGGAGCTCCCGTAACATTAAATGCAGTTTTCTGTTCTTGTTTAACGTGACGACCATCACGAGAGTGATGATCTATTCATCATGTGTCTTGGGTCAACTGACGATCATTAGCATGGTGACGAGGAGGTAGTTAGGGCCTCCAGACAAGCTTTTGCTTACCTACCATCAAAGGGGCAACATGCAAGTGGGAGTGGGGTACTGGATGGGTGACGACATGGTTGTCATGGCCTGTAAAGAGGCATTTTGTGCTACAGGTTCAATTTTCTGTTCCAATTTCGGTGCATCATTGTGTGGGGGGGTTGATATGGAATGTTGATTGGTGAATTTAGTTCAATTATGTTAATGATTAAATTGAGCGAGTAGATAAGGTAATCATGTTATTACTTGATAATTATGTGATGATCATATAATCTAGATTTGTGGTGTGTAGTTCAGATGTGGGGACTACTTTGTTCTTATTGTGCAAGATTAATTTACAGTTAGATGTGGAGCTGTATATTCGTTATTGAGTTGTTGTTGCATAAATATATATATGCATCATTGTGTCATTATTATGAAAGAGACGAGTTATAAATTTAGATGAGGGGATTAGTGACTTGTCCTAAGCTGAGATGAGGAGGCTTGGAGCTCAGATGAGGGGGCTCGGGGTTCAGATGTTGGGACCCAGTTCATATGAACACTACTATAAAAAGCGTTTTTAACCTCAGATGCGAAATGCATTTAACCTCGGTTAAAGAAGCGAGTTAACGAAGGATGTCATGAAATGTATCTACTTAACACCTCAATTTTTAAAACACGGAGGGGAAAATTCTTATGCACATAGGTTTAAACCCCAACCACTGCACATTTAATATTTTCAAACTAGCGCATCAAATCTCTCAGTTTATTAATAACCCCGAGGGGTAAGATCGATATATATTTTTAATCTAATTAAAACTATATATTATTAATAAATTAATTGTTTACCCATAATATTACATTGTTTACACTGAATATTTTTGTAAACATACGTAACAAATTTGGAATCTGATTCAACATCACCACTGTTGGTAAAGATCATATGTTGTATCCTCGTTTTATTAAAATGTCAGGCAAGAGAAAATGTTGGGTGAAGTATATTTAGATCCCTTTTACATTTATTTGTTTCAGATGTAAAACAAGAAAAAATTTAGTTAAATGAATGAATATATGCTTATAGAAGAATACCATGCAAAAATTGATTATTGAAAAACACAAACCTTAAACCCAATATAATTTCTGCTCTTGCAATACATTGTAGATAAGTTTACTGAGTTTTTTACGCTTCAAAGTATTTATGTTATGGTTCATTAACAACTATTGATATTCAAAATGCTTTTATAATGGATGTTTGTTAGGTTTCACACAGATCACTAATGGAAGTGTCTTGAGCGTTGATACTCATGAAATGGAAGACACAAATTTTTTTAAGGACGTTGTTAAATATCCTCAACAATCACGCCTAAATTATTCCCTCAATTTCTGTCAAAAACCGAGGTAAAAGTTCTATAAGCTTTTTTTAACATTACATTGTTTACACATAATATTGAATTACATTAATACAACAAATGCAGTGTTATCATAGTAGTTGTTGTTCTTGGAGAACAACAAATCTTTGCTCTAATTTAGATCCTTTTTGTTACATTATATGCTCACTATTTTAAATTCCAATGGATTTCATGCAATCAACTTCTAAGGAGCTATCTGCTTCAAGTAAGGAGTTATCAGTTCTAATCATTGAAAATGTTTTTCCGCATTTGCAATCCAACATAGAGAACTTTTTCAAGTTTTTTTAAACTCCAAAATTTCATTAACTTGGGAAAATGTTATCAAGGCTAATTCTTTCACAAGAAATATATATAGTGGTGGATGTAGATATTTTGTTGTCGATTGATGTCTTGGCAATATCTTGAGCGTTGTTCCTTTAAGAATGTAGGGTAAAGACCGAGGGGAAATGTTTTTTCTATTTTAAATAGAAAAATAAACTAAAATAAAAGAGTCAATTTTAGAATAAAATTGAGGTCAATAATATCTTATTTTTTAAAAAAAATATTACATTGTTTACACATAATATTAAAAAAAATTCAGATTCATCATCATCGCTGCAAAATTCCAGATTTTGTTGCATATATCTTTTCAAAGGTTGAACAACCTTCTTTATTTAACTTGGAAGCATGAATGTTTTTTTTCACTTGCAATATATCATATGGAACTTTTCCAAAATTCTTTAACTAAGAGTTGTTCCAAAAATCCAACATCAAAACCATTATGCGAGATAAATTGCAATGGCAAAAAATATGTTTTGTTCAAGGATAGAAGAACATTGAAGATTTTTTGTTGTCTTGCAAGCCATCCCAAATAATGATACGTACTAGTTTGGGGCGGCTTCACAAAGGTAAGTATTAGGGTTAAATTTGTGTAATGAGTGCTTTTATAGTAAAATTTGATTATGTTATCCCTCGCTTTTTAACGAAATTGAAGGGATAGATCATTTAGTATTCACTTATAAACAAATAAAAACATAAACTTTAATAGTTAGGATTGGAAGTGTGTCATGATTTGTTTTTTCCCTCGATTTAAAACCGAGGGAATATGTTTTTTTTTTTATAAAAAAATAAAACATGGCATGCCTTGTCATAATACCTTGAGTTTTTTCTAGCTGAGGTGAAAGCTTTGTAATGAAATATATTATTTGTAGTAGTGGAAGAACCTTTGTTGAGTTTATACCACATGCATCATTTTAATCGTTGTCTGCATGCATCACATAAAGGTTGTGCAAATGAGAATTTTGATGTTGTTGTGCAATTGAGTTGCATTAACTAACTCATATGAGTTATTCTAATTGATGTGATTGATGTGTATAAAAAATGATGTCTTTGTTTAGGCTGCCCATTGCATTTCTTTTGCACTATTATATATTTTGAGCATATTATCACTTATTTGTTGCTTGTGGTGTTTTGTGCTCCTTCTTAGAGTACAAATAAGTAGGCATTGAGTAGTTGCCTTAGAGTTGAAAGATGACATTGAGGCTATTTTTGATTTTCTCATTTTTATGAGCTATTTAAATTTTGTTGCTCTGATCTGTAACACTGGGTAGGGCTAACATTATGTTTTACTGTTTATTGTTATTTTTGAGTTTTTGTTGCAAGAGTAGATGTTAAAACTCTTGATATTTTGAGTTGTTTTGATGTTGGAGGATTTTTCCATAATCATGTTTAATTTTTAATAAAGATTTATCATGAACTCAATTTATTGATGAGTTGTGTTTTGTTGATTAATTTCGTTGTAATGAGCCTATCTAAAGGCGAGCATGTGACGAAAAGTATTTAGAATATGTTATGTTTTAGTTAACTCGTGTTACGAAGTAGGTTTGTGATGTATTTATGTGACACCCTATGTGAATATTTATTTTTAAATTTGTATTATACAAGTTGGGGTTTTAGGGTGTTACATTAGTGATATCATAGCAGGTCTGTCCATCTGGCTAGGTTTTTGCATGTTGTATGTACCCTGGTAGTCGACTAGTGTGCGGACACTGTTGATGCTTTGTTTCCTCTAATGTTGTTTTCTTATATGTAGAGACATGGCTGGAGGAAGAAATGATGATGCGATTATTGAAGCTTTGGAATCGTTGGCTCAAGCAGTGGCTCAGAATAATCAGGGCAGTCGAGTTGTTGATGAATTTTGGGGATTTGGGAAGTTTCATAAAAATAATCCAATGAATGGGATAATTCACATCAGAGAATGGAATTTATGGGTACTAAGATCATTTGGGTTGTGTTCAGAACTGGATTTCTAGATAAGTACTTTCCAGTGTATATGAATGGAAAAAAGAGATCGAGTTCCTTGGACTAAAGCAAGGGAATATGATAGTTGTTGAATATGTTGCTAAGTTTGAAAAGCTGGTGAAGTTTTTTCCACATTAAAATAGTGTGGCAGCTGAAGGGTTTAAGTGCATCAATTTTGATATTGGCTTGCGTCCCGAGATTAAGCAAGGTATTGGGTATCAGGAGAGTCATCAATTTCTTGTGCTGGTGAATAAGTGCAAAATTTATGATGAGGATAATAGAGCTTGATTTGCTCACTATAAGAGTTTGAGTGAGAAGAAAGGCAAATATCAGAATCATGGGAAACCTTATGTGAATTCTTTTGATAAGGGTAAACGTAAGGCTGGTCAGGAATTTGCAGGCCAGAAAGAGAAAGTGGGGGAAGAACTCCTTCTTCTGTGAGTTTTTTCAAGTGTGGTGAGTTTGGGCATCGTATTTCTTAGTGCAAGAGCATAATTAGGAATTTCTTCAATAGTGGTAAGCCGGGTAACCGAGCTACTGAATGTAAGGGTAATGACTTCCTAAAATTATGG